GTTGTTTTTTGTCCATCCCCACAGCGCGGGCAGGCCCAACATTCCCCGCACCGCGGCCGCCCCTGGCGGGCCGTTCGGCGCGTCGGGTCTTTTTTTCGCCGATTGCGCGCGGGTTTCGCCCTCTTTTCGTCCCCGGCGGGGACCTCCCAGAGGCGTTTGTTGACCTCGACCCCCCCGCAGCCCCCGCAGCTCAGTCCCAGCACGGCGCGCTTTAACGCCGTGTTGTGGGGATGAAGAAGCAAGTGTGAAAGCAAAACCCCGCGAGGGGCAGCATTGGCGAGCCTTCTATCGTCGAGGGGGGTTAAACCGGCGGCGAAATCGCGTGGCATGACGAAGACGTCGGAATAGGCGGTGCGGGAGGTGAAATGGCAATCGCAGAGGTGAATGGAGGGGGAGGGGGGGGGGCCTGGCATGATGCCCCTAACGTCGTCGTCGTGGAGTGGGATTGGCTAAATTATAAAAGAAAAATAATCTAAAAAGGGGATTATTTTAGGGGGTATGCCTTTTGAATAGGGTAAGAAAAGTGTAAGGATTATCGGTTATAATGTACCTAGATGGAGATGAAATGGGAATGGGAAGAATGATGCATGAGGAACTAGTGTCATCGCAATGGCGACCATAACTGTAATGTGCATAAAAGTTATAACTTACAACTAGGTATCGTGTTTCGTTAAAATCCTCTCGGGAGGCTTTTTAATTTCGAAATGGTGCGAAGCTAAAAAGATGAATTTCATTTTTCTTCTTCTAATTTGTACATCATTGAACATGTTCAAAAATAAGAATCTATATCAAAAAAACAAACAAAAAAGGAAAAGACACGCACTCACTCGACTGGACAAAGATGAGCGCTTCATGTACATTAGACTACTGCCGAGGAAAATTTGAAAACCGAGTACTTCGGAATTTCAATGATTCCATCTATTAATTTTCTTTTTTCCCTATTCATACGGATTTTTTTAAATATTATTTCACTTTAACGTCGACGATCCGCTTCCTCTCTTTCTTCCGGATCCACAGGCACACCGTCTAAACAGGTAAGTTTTGGCAGCCGCTGAAGCATCATATATCGATATTCCTGCGTGCTCGGCGCGCTATTATAAATAGGATTGTTGACAAAAAGAACATCCACCAAATCCGGACATTGATTCGACAAGCGATCAATCTCACTCCAGCTGTTCACCAAATTATTACTCATATACAAAATCCGCAAGCTTTTGAGCTTATCCAGCCCCGTCAGCTTATCAATCTTGTTGTACGAGATCCACAACTGCTCGAGATGTGGAATATCCAACTGCTCAAGCTTGCGAATGTTATTCCGTCCGAGAGATAAAATGCGAAGATTTTTAAGTTCTTTGAGCCCGGGGCCTATTTTTTCGATCGCGTTGGTGCTGAGGCCGAGGTGAACACAGGCCTTAAGTTGGGTGATTTCCTTATCCATCCGCACGATCGGCGGAAGCATCCCAATCAACAACACTTTCCCCTCCTCGGCGGCGACAACTTTGGGAAAGGCCTCCGCGTCGGTCCCGGGGGGGGCCGAGAGGAGCCGGCGGTGGTACTCCGCCTCCTCAAAACGCCCAATCGCCTCTTTTAGACTCGTCGCCGTCGCCATTTTTACTTCCAGTTCACGTTTAATCCTAATAAAACAATATAAAAAAATCAAAATTGTTGAAAGATCTTTACAAATTCAAGTGGACGGTCGTATATGATTGCAAAATAGACCCTGAGCTCTTTGGGATGTAGCCAACAACAACAATAATGATAATAATAATAATAATAACCCTTCACGAGACTGGCTCTGAGATAGTCTGAGTAAACCCTTTATAGGCGCTCGATGGTTTCGCCCTCCCAACTAGTTTTGAAAAATGAGGGTAAGAAGGAAATTTCTTGAATAAACAGGGTGAAAATTACTACATTGCCATCACGTATTGTTTGCCACCCTCCCAGAAAAAATCAATTCTATTATCTACACAACAGTGAAAGAAGCAGAAAGTATAATAAGATGGTAATTAGTAAAGGAATTAAAGAAAAAAAAGTTAGCAGGAATAAAAAATATGAGGTAAACAAAGGCTTTTATTTGACTCCTGACTATATGGAGCTAAATTTTCAACAATATAATACAGAAGACACCTCCTCTAGCCCTCTATATAAGTTTTTCTGATTTCAGATAGAAAATAGAGATCCCTCTATATAATGTATAATCTATAGGAGCAAATTAGAGAGGCCAATACCCTCTGTTTTTTCTAGAAGTAATCCTATTCATGGTAAAAATAAATCAATACAATAGAACTTTACAAATAAGAATAAATCTCATCTTGTACTTCTCTTTGATAGATTATCATGAAATAATTTTTATTTTTGTTGTTTTGGTCATGGCGGTTGTAGTTTGGTGTCAAACACGTGGCATTTTTTTTCGGCTAATTTCCTCAGAGGCGCCATTAGTGTTTGCGCGTTTGCCCAGATTGACTTTCAAAGAGGGTTTGACGCCCTTCTTATCTTTTCCCCCTTGGAGGGATCTGCTTTTGTTTTCTTTTCCATTTCCTTTTGTGTTTACTGGGGTACACTTTACCGGAGGTGAACTATGCAGTGTGATTTTAGCTTTCCCTTTAGGAAGGGGGTTTCCTCCTCCCAACTTTTTTTTAGAATGATTGGGTTCTTTTTTCGCCACATTGGTTTTCAAAGGGGAGGGGTTCACATCACCTGCAGACGAGCTATCGGTTGAATTTTGTTCCGTTTCAACGTTCTTCCCATTGTCTTCATCATGACTTGGCGTGCTTGAATCCACCGCTATGACGTCTTCTTCCTTTTTGTGATTATTGATCTTGTGAATTGTATTATCTGTGTTTGTTATCCCAGATGTCGTTAACGTCGTTTCACGCACCTCCGAACAACATTTTAATAGAGGGCCATTGTTGTTTTTCGCGCTTTTGACCATTTTGGATATTTCTTCCCCCCCGCCACAATCATCAGGCCCATTTGCACCCTCCATGGTGGATGTCAAGTTCGATTTCTCGCCTACTTCCGTCCGCGATAAGGTGGAGGCGGAACATAATAACAACGGTAAAGAAGCTTTGAGCTTCGTCGCCTCGTTTGAAGAGGATTCCCCGCAGGAAAGATCCCCATCGTCGACATAATCGAGCGTGCCGGGGATACCTAACGACGCGCGAAGTTCCTTCGAGATCCGTCCCATGCGATGGCAGATGAAATCCTCCAAAAGATATAAATTTTCGGTCCATCGATTCGCCGCGTCCATCGCGAGGGCGGTGGCGCGTTTGATTTTGTCCAAAAACTCCGGATCGAAGGCCGCGAGGGGCTGAAGTTCCGCCTGAAGCTCCGCCCGCCGCCGCGCGAGGGTCTGAAGTTTTTGTAAATCCGACGTCGACTCCGCCAGCGAGCCGATCTCGCCCTGGCGGAGCTGAATTGCCGCGTTTAAGGTATTCAAAGTTCCCTCAAGGGCGTTTCGCCGCTCTTTGAGAGAGGCCACATCCAACAGGGCGAGCCGGGCGGCCCTATTGTTCCCCCCTTTGCCTTTCAACTCGTCAGGGGCGAGGGCGCGTTGTTTTTGAGCCGCCGTCAAGGGAAATTTCCACAAAAACGTTTGGACGCCGATTTTTTCCTGTTGAAGACGATCCTCGGAGACAAGGACCTCGACGCACTCGTCGATGCTTTGGTAGATCACGCCGGTGGCCTTGGGGATTAAGGACTGCAGTTCTTTCAGGGTGTAGGGCTCGGCGTGGGCGTCGAACCATCGCGCGATCTTTTCGACTTTTTCCTCCGCGGACAGGCCTTTTTTTTTGCTCATCAAGCCGAGAAATCCGCGTTTATTTTCCTTTCAGAAGTCAAGGCGATGTGGTGACTCATGAAATTATGGGGGTGAGAAAAGGAAAGGCACATAAGAGGGAGGGATGGGAGGGTTGAAGGAATTAAATGTGGTAAAACAGGCATAGACTTATATATATATATAGGTAGATCGATAGATGTGGTTATAAAGATGATTACAAGACGGCTAAATGCTTTTTGCACAGCAAAATGTACAAGGGGGGATGCGTTTCGTTAGTGAAATCGAATTTATGCCAGTAATAAAGATAGTTAATCAATCCCAATTACATCAACTGACTTTTTGTCTTTCGGCGTATCATCACGCGACTTGGTATTTTATACTTTCGGTTATCCTGATCAGAGCGAAAGGTAAGATGAAAGTGGAGAAACTATCCCTCAACTAAGCCTCCACAACTAGGCTTATTTTCTAAGAGGAAAAGGGAAAAAAGTGACTCCCACCTACAAATATTATCAGTATATATATATATATATATATAGTCCATTTTACATTTTGAAAAGCTTTCGCGCAGGTTTGTAGAGGCATCTTCATTACCTTCTTTCATCACCTCGAACTCATTAAATTTGAGTTTCGTTTCAATTTCATCATTTTGTAAATATTTTACCTTTTTTATTTACTTCAATATACCCAAATCTGCTATATTTCGGCATTTGAAAGAGGATTCGGTGTACATATGGGAAGGATTTGAGATCATTATATTCCTTTGAATCAAACTAGGACTTTCCAAAGGGAATGAGGGGATCCCCATCTGAGAAGGATTTGTCGTTTGAATAGGATTCCCTGAAGATCCCGACGTGGATTGCGGGATATGGGTTGGGTGATGTGGAATGTTGGCGAAGCTCGTGGAGGTAGAAATGGTCGCCATCGAAGGGGAATTCATTCGGAAATGATAAAAATCCTTTTGACGATCCTGCAGAAAAGTACTTTTCGTTTTATGGGATGGCAGTAGCTGCTCCGCAAGAGCCTGCGCGGCGTAAAGTGCGGAGCGCTGGACGGGTAGAAGCGTTTGGTTTTTTTTTCGCTGTCGAAGGCAGGTGGAGTTTCCATCCATGAGGATATCCATCGAGGCGTAGGTGTCGTCCCGCAGGGTTTGCAGGCGAATCGCGTCCGCCGCGCGCAATCCCTGCCGGGCGCGTTGAATTTCCGCCTCCCCTACCGGCGCCGCTGCGCCGTCGGCGATGCCGTGATGAAATCGATTTCGCAATAACGAATAAATCGCCGCGCGGACGGAATTCCCCGCGATTGTTTCCGCCGGTGAGTTTGTTGGCGCCTTCCGCGGCCGGGCGGGGGGGGTCAAACGCCCCGCCGATCGTTTTTCCATCGGAATTGGATGTTGGGGGGCATTTTTGTGAGTACATAAGGGGAATCCCACCTCAATGGCATCACTCGGGGCCATCAACGTTTTAGCGGCCACGATATTGGGAGATAAATCCGGCAAAAGATGAAAATTACGGCTTTCCACTTCGCTCAACGTCGGCGTCGATTCGGGAAGGGGAGGGGGGACTGAAAAAGGTGGAAGTCGGTAGCGATGGGGATGGGATTTTTTCGGATTCCTCATTTTTCCCCCGCCCTCAGAAGAAGTTGATTTGATCAGAACACTTTTTGGATTATTCGAACTGCTATGGCGTTCCTTAAGCGGGATTTGGGGAGTATGTGGGAAAAATTCAGTGTGGGCAATACTGAAAGCTTTACCGTTTGCATCCTCTTTATCAACGCAAAGGTCTGCGGTTTGGTTCGTCTGATATAAAGAAAGAACCTTCTCTAATATTTTTTCCACGTCGGTGTCGTTAATTGTCTTTGATGAAATTCCACCCTTTTCGGGGTTATTTAACGACATCAAATACGCATCCACTTGCTGATTAACAAATTTCAAGAGCTGTTCATCATGTAAGGCCCTATCGACGTGCTCGTCAACGTATTTTTTTTCCTTCACCTGTGCGCGGAATGCGGGGTGAGAATAAACAGGGAAGCAGTACTTTGCAATCCTGCAATGCGGATGCATATTAGGCTGCTGTCTTTTATTGTAGGTATTCTGCATTGTTTTCTTTCGGTGTACTAATGTGTTTCCTTGTTATGCTTACATCATATTGCTATTAACAAGGGATAAAAAAAGGAGAAAAATATTAATAAAATCATAAATATTGCCTCAAAAGTGTACGAGAACGTTGATTCGAACTTATGTTATAAACCTGTATCTAGATGTGTACGTCTTTCGCTATTTATCCACTCTAGCTCCTTTGTTAAGCTTTCTAATTGATCTCTCTTACGCCTTTCGTCGACAGTTGACCTTATTCATCACCGTCCGAATCACTTTCAATAAAGGAGTCTTCATCACTGGATATGTTTTTACGAGCTTTCTTAACCCGCCGTTTAGGCTCCGCCTTCTTGCGTGAAGTTCTATTCGTCGATGCCGAGGCTTTCTTTTCCGCAGCGGCAGTTATCTTCCTTTTCGTCGTCAGGGTTGTTTTTTTATTGTCTTTTACCGCCTTTGACGGCTTTTTTTTATCGCCTACGACGACGCCCTCGCCAAGCCCCTCCGCCTTCTCGTCGTCGTCGCTGCTGTCATTCGAGAGCGTCCCGGCGCCCCCCTTGTCGATATGCCGCAAAGCCGCCTTGGCGAAGCTTCCCACGCGATGCGTTCGATTAAAATCCCGCGTAAAGGCGGACTTCACGGCGGTGGGAATCCGCCTCGCAAGGTCATCGCACCCACTCCGCGAGGCGCCGCGCATGCGTTTAAAATGCGCGGCCCCCTGCACAAAGTCGACATCGTCTCGCATGAGTTTATAGGTATCCATAAAGGCAATAAGCTGCGGGATACCATCTTTTTGAAATTCCGCAAGGGGCTGGAGAAGCCCGCGCTCCCAGCCGAGCGGGATGTAGTCGAGGAGGACGTCCTCCTGATTGCCGCTGATCCCTCCTTGAGCCTGCGTTGTCAAACAGCGCAGGAGCCGCCGGTGCTTTCCCAGGGTGGAATAATGGCCCAGCCAAGTCGGGAACTTCACGGGTCGCTGGCGGTCGAAAAAAACCGACGGGCCGTCCAAAAAGGAATTATACTTCCCGCGCGTGTAAACGCAGGGGGCGATGCTGGAAAAAAGGGCGTGGGCCCGCGAGACCGTCCAATTCTGCTCCCCGTACATCATCCGCTGGGCGCGATCGGCGCGCGAGATCGACTCCGCCGCGCGAGCGACCGCGGGGAGCCACCCCTCCTCAGACGGGCTGAAATGGAGGTAATTCTCCTGCACAAACAAATCCACCAGGTCGGCGTTGTAGAACCGCAGGGCCATCTCGTGGATCGTGTGAACCTCGCCGCGGCTGGTGCCCTGGAGGAGAAAGTACTCCGCGTTGTCGAAAATACTCGTGTCGTTGTCTTTTTGCATCTTCACCGCGTAGGTTGCGAGCTCGCGCTCGTTCAGAACGCGGCGCCGAAGGCACCACATTTGCAAATTATTCAGCATGCTGCGAATGTCGCTCCCGGAGCGCTTAATAATATCCTGCAAAAGTGCTTTCGAAAGGCTGATCTGCTCACGCGCAAGGATGCGATCATAAATGTAGTTCGCCACGATATTACAAGGGGGACGCGTAAAGCGAAGATCCTCTACATGGTTGACTAAAGATCGCAACTTGGGATGCCAGCGATCATTACAGGTGCAGACGATCGGGATTTGCGTGGTTTTGATGAACTCAATCACCTCACCCACTCCTCCCACATCACATCCATCCACCTCATCCATCAAAAGGAGGACGTTCGTGTAAGAAGTGCCCGATTTCGAGAAAGCGCGATTGGTGATCAGCGTGGAAACGTGCTCGCGGAGAGATTTGGAGCTGCGAAAGTCGCTAGCATTGTATTCGATCACGCTGAGCCCGGCCTCCCGCGCGACGACGTAGACTGTCGTCGTTTTACCGACGCCTGGAGGTCCGGAAAGGAGAACCGCGCGGGTTTTTTTGGAAGCCCCTTCACCAGCAGAATCGAAATTCTTCAACCACGAGAGCAGCTTGTTCGCGAAAACGGTGTAGCACATCTCAGAAATGCACTGAGGTTTGTACTTGTCGGACCACAGCTCACCCGCTGTAGATCTATCGTGCGTATTGGAGTTTTTTACAGCTGTCATCTACGAAGAGTCTATTTAGATTTTGTCTAAATTTATGAATGTGTATTTTTTTTACTTTCTTCAAGTTGAAGGATTGGATATGATCAAGAGAAAAGTGTGTGCATCAATTTTTTAAAATTCAACCTGTCTAGTGTGTCTCTTCTTCACCGTATTTTTAAATTATGGAAAATTTTCCTTGTATTAAATTTGAACGATGACTTAAAAATTAATAGAAGATGTCTTTTTTCGCTTAAGCAGAAGGGGGAACCATGCGAAAGAATTAATTAAACATGATGTAATAAAAACAAAATCTTACAAATTCATAAATACGCGCATCTAATCTCATCAAAGAATTTTGTTGAGTATTAAGAAAGTCAGTTCTTTGAACAATATGTAAGGATTGATGAATAAATGATTACAGTGTAAAATTTTCTACGACTCCTTTTTAATGATATTTTTTTAAAAGAGAGTAACATCTTTAAAGAGGTAATCATTAAATTTACGATAAAACACAAATTCAAAAAATCACAATATACATTTCTAAGACAAGAGAAGCACTAAGTGAGGAATTATATTAAATATTACCAAAATCTATAAATGTTCACGTAATTCAATCAACATTGACACTTAAAAGAATAAGCAAAATTTGTAGAGGTGATTTTATAATTCTAGTAACCAGTTCAATAATAAATCTCGATATCTAGAATAAAACATCTTTAATTTAGTGCTAAACAAACTAATCTATTTTAGTTACCTTTTTGTGAATTCAAGCCGGATATTGAAAATTTTTGTGCGATCATCGACGCTGAACTACTTCGAGGATTGCTATGGTAGGCCGAGAAGTTGAGACGAATTTGGTTGTCATTAACAACTCCAGGGGTGGTTACGGTGTTTTTATGCGGTATAGCAAGGGAGTGATGCCTTGAAGATGAAGCATCCAGTGTGTGGGGAACTACCACTGGAACTCCTGTTGGTTTCTGCAAAGACAAATTCTGATTGACGAAAATATTTTTTTTCGCAGCGTTATCTGTGTTTGTAGAGCAGACGCGCTCGACCGAATCTGCGCTACCAGACTTCCACACAAGTGACTTGGATTTTTTACTAACAGTGACAACCTCAGAAACAACAGAGGCAGTGCTGTGCATGGGGGCTTGCTTCTCCTTCTTTTTTTTACACGAGTATAGAAAGGACCTTTTGTTTTTAAGGATTTCCTTGGGGCCTATCGAGTTGTTTCGATTGGTGACTTGGGAGTTTCTGCCTAATAGGGAGCTGTACAAGATGCCGCCCCGCAGGAGGTTAGCCATGGGACTCGCATGCTCTCCCTCCTCCTTCCCCTCAGCGC